GAAAAATATAATTTTATTATTGATTAATTGATTCGAGTATTATTATTTTGCTTTCAAAGGGAATTGCATTTTATTTCGGTTGGAAGCTTACATTAGTAATTTTAGCCGCCTCGCCAATCATCGCAATTGCTGGTTACTTGGAATTTAAAGCTCTTGCGGGTTTTGGTACAAAGGTAATTAACATTGTTTATTATCATCATCATCATTATTTTTACATCTACACAGTGAATCTCGATTTAGCGGATAGTTTGGCGATTAGGAAAAGTTTTCCAAAAATTCGTTAAACCGAGATATCCACTATATCGAGAAGGTTTTTATTAAGGTTTATTATGGGACCGTCTTTTGAACTTTATCCGTAAAACCGAGATTTTTAATTAGTATCCGCTAAATCGAGATTCATTGTGTTAATATTTTAAATCAATACTAAATTATTAATAAATTTCCATTCTATTTGTATATATATTTATGATTAGACAAGTAAAGCATATGAATCAACAGGACAAATTGTACAACAAAGTGTATCTAACATGAGGACAATAGCATCTTTGTCAAGAGAAGAGACATTTAAAAATAGGTTTATTGATGCGCTTAGAGAACCACATAAAATTGCTATCAAAGGTTCAACACTTGTTGGCTTTGGCTTTGGTGCGTCACAGGGTTTCGTATATTTCATTTGGTCATTAGCTTTTTGGTATGGTTCAAGGTTGATCATTAGCGGAGAATATACTACAGAAACAATGTTTAGAGTTTTATTCGTTGTTATTTTTTCTGCTGTTGCTGTTGGTCAAATGAGTTCTTTTGCACCAAATACTGCAAATGCTAAAGTAGCAGCCATCTCGATATTCGAAATAATTGATCGTAAATCAAAAATTGATGCAACTGATAGCGAGGGTAAAGATCGCCCAACGCCTGTTACAGGAGAATCAACAATTAAAGATGTGCATTTTAATTATCCAGCGAGACCAGACATAAAAATATTAAAAGGTTTAGATATGTCAGTTGACGCAGGGAAAACAATAGCTTTAGTAGGATCGTCTGGAAGCGGTAAATCAACAGTTGTATCATTATTGTTGAGATTTTATGATGTCAATTCAGGATCTGTTGAAGTTGAAAAGGTTGACGTCAAAACTTGGAATTTAGAATACTTGAGATCAAATTTGGCCCTAGTTGGACAAGAGCCCATATTATTTGATTTAACTATTGGAGAAAATATTGCATATGGCAAAGAAGGTGCATCGCAAGATGAGATTGAAAATGCAGCAAAAGGTGCTAACATACACGATTTCATTATGAGTTTGACAGATAAATATGACACAAAAACTGGAGAAAAAGGAACACAATTAAGCGGTGGGCAAAAACAAAGAGTTGCAATCGCAAGAGCATTGATACGATCACCAAAATTATTGTTACTTGACGAAGCAACATCAGCTTTAGATTCGGAAAGTGAAAAGGTTGTTCAAGTTGCATTAGATAAAGCAAGTAAAGGTCGTACGACCTTAACTATTGCGCACAGATTATCAACAATACAAAATGCTGATTTGATATTAGTATGTAAGAAAGGTAAAATTGTGGAAAGTGGCAAACATTCAGAATTGATTTCTCAGAAAGGTTTATATTACGATTTAGTGAATAGACAAACCTTGACAAATCAAGCAAGTTAATTACAATTTTAAAAATTTAGAAATTTTATTTGTAAAATCATAATTTTTTTATTTTTGTTTTTGGAAGATTTTTTTAAGATTTAAGTTTTATAATTTATATAATACTAATAAATAATAACAATAATAATAATATTAATAATAAATAATAAAATATATAATTAAAAAATATAAAAATATTGTGTCACGTGTAACGTTCGAAATAATACTCGATAGCAATATAACAATAAAGGATAGAAAGAGGACACAAAATATTCATTTACCCGATAGATCCTTTCTAAATAAAAAATTACACGTAAATTTTTCAACGATATAAATAATAGTAATAGTAATTGTCGCGAACATTTGAAATTGTCACAAAGAACACTAGTCATATGCACATGGTGAATATGTAAAAGTTTTGTTGACGAGCATATAAAATAAAAAATAACAATAAAGGAAACAAAATATTTTCCTTTTTCTAATTTTATTTTAAAAGATATTCTTTTTAATTTTTAATAATCATCTTCTTTTCTTCTTCTCCTTCTTCTCCTCCTCTTTTACAAATAAATCACCATCGCTTGTCTTTTATTATTATAAACGGCAGCTATATCTCCACCCTTCATAATGTTTCTTTATCTTTGAGATTATATTCAACTGATTTTAAAAATTAGAAAGCTTATTTATATAATGATAATTAGAATTTTTTACGTTTTTATTTTACCTACGATGAGGTAATGAATGGTATCTATTTACTTTGGAGAGACGAAATTGAAAGTGAAATCGAATGTTTATTTGTAATAAAAATTTTGAATATATTTTTCTGTTCTTAAGTCAAAGAATTTTTAAAGAGTTTTAAATGCATTTTTTCTTCTTTTCCCTTGTCGTTGGAATTTATTCAGTTGCTCGATATTATAATTAATTGATAATTAACTTGCTTGGTTTATCAAGGTTTGTCTATTAATTAAATCAATATAAACCTCTCTGGTAAATCAATTCTAAATGTTTACCACTTTCCAGTTTTTCCATCTTTTTCACAAAGAAAACCAACTATTGATTTTCAATTACTTTCATGGTTAGATTCATTACAATAAATGTCTAGGCAAGCATCTCGTGAGCTTTTTTTGTGTTGCACAAATTTCGCTTAATGAAATGGTGAGAGCACATAAAAAATTAAAAAAAATTTCACTGAAAAAAAAAATGAACCAAGATTGTATCTATAGAATCTTGGAATATTTATCAGAAGATAAAAAAACATTATTATCATGTCTATTCGTCAATAGAAAGTGGTGTCAGATAGCAGTAAAGATTCTTTGGAGAGATCCCTTTCAAAATATAAAAAATGAACATTGGTTATTAATTTCACGAACAATTTATTACTGTTTACCTGAAGATTCAAAAAGAAATATAAAGAATTCGGGGATTATTATAAATTTTGATTATTCAATCTTATCATCATCATCGTCACCATCATTAACAAAAGAAACAGAAGTAGTTCCATTTTTTGACTATCTCAGTTACTGTCAAATATTATCTGTTCAAGATATATATGATATTGATTATAGTATTAATACTTGTGGGAGAAGATTTATGACCATTCATAAATCCACAATAGTTTCAGATGAATTGTTAAAAGTGTTTCTAAAAAAATGCCGTCTAAAATTTTTTGAAATAAAAAATATTGATGATATATTTAATAATATTAATATTAATATTAATATTAATAATAATGGAGAAGGAAACTGTAGTATTGGTGATCTTGACATTTCTAGCAATATTAATGATGTTAAGAGTATTAGCATTAGTGGTGATGAGCTTAGTAATGTTAGCAATGGTAATGTTAATAGTGACAAAAATAACAATTCAATCAATTTAACATACAAAGTTTACCATTTAAAGGTTTGGAATGATTTATCACCTTCGATTTTAAGAAAGATCTCAAGAATGTTTCATGATATTAAGATATTAACAATAAAATTTTGTCATTATGTGATTATTAATAATAGACCAGAAATTAAAAACCTTATAGAATCACAAAAATCTTTGCAAGAAATTAATTTGTTAAACGATTCTTTCTTTATATTTAAAGAAATTGATGATTCAATCTCAAAACATTCAGAAACTTTAATCAGTTTGAATTTTAAATCAAATTTTGTTTTTGAATTAAATAACTTAAATAGATTAAATAATTTAAGAAAACTTGTAATCGATATAGTGGAAATTTCTTTGCGTTTAGAATTTTTAGATTCAATAAGTTTCCCAAATCTTGAGAAACTTTTTGTTTTTGGTGATCAAAACGATATCAGAACAACTTTGGATTTAAAATTTTGTACAAAAATAATAGAGAAAACTAAAGGAAATATGAAAACTATAAGAATAGAATCAAACAAATTTCTAAACGGTACTTGGCGTTATATCAAATCGATACCTGTTCATTGTCCAAAAATTCAAAAGCTTACGATATTTTACGACAACCTCAACTTTCTTGGTTTATCAATGAAAGAAGACTTTGAAAATATTTTGAGATCTTGTAAATATTTAAAGATTTTATATGTTCAAGAGTTTCACCATAGTAACTTTTGTTTCCTTGATGGTAATCAGATTTTGAGTTCTTTGGCAGGTCATTTATCTTCAAATATTTTTAAAGAGCTACATATGATCGGTAATTGGACAATTTCTCTTGATGGATTTAAAATCTTTTGTGAACTTTGTAAAATTAGAAATAGAAAAAAAATTACTTTGAAATTTTGGTTTGATGAAGGAATTTGTCAAGATGGTTTTGTTAAAATTTATGAGAATTTTGTTGATTATGGAATTTTAAAATCTTTAGAATTTGGTTGGAATAGCAAAAAAAAAAATATTAAAAGAATTTTAAATTATGAAGAAGACATTATTATATGAACATTGGATTAGATAAACTAGATTAGTTTTTTTATTGTACAATATTAAAATTTGTAATGCTTAAATTCAACACATGTATATTAATATGTATATGCATATACGCATACATAGACAATTACCATTAAAATAAAATAATTATAATTTTCCCCTTCCTTTTCCCAACAAAAAAAAAAAAATAATGAAAAATAATTATAATTAATTAATTAATCAACCAATCGATTGATTGATTGATTGTAATCTTTATGGAGAATCGCCGGCAGTGAAGCGAAGGATGAAATTGAAGAGTACGGCAACTATTAGAAATTTATAAAATTATTATTTAAGAATTACTAGCAATAACAGTAATAACAGCGATTAAGACGACGATGATAATAATAAAAATAATAAAAGACTTACGGACGAGGAAAAAACAAAGAAATGTAGGTCCATATCTATCATCATAAGAACCTGCTTCTCTTTTTCTTATCTTGGAGGCCCTCCAATGATATATGTATAACGCGTATCCCATGAATGACATGGCTTTGAAAAAAATAAATAATACAATATATATTAATATACGCAAACATAGAGTTCTTTCATTCTCTTTATTCAATTGTTTAATTTTTTATTTTATAATTAATCAAGTTACCAAGTAAAGTGAATACTGCTCCAGAAATCCTGGCGACTTTATCATCACCGAAGTTGAGGAGACCAATTGCCAAACCACCCAGGACAACAGTAAATTGAAGCCAGGATAAAAAGGTACGTTCGTTGGCAAAAAATACCTAAACGATTATTTTAAAAGAAAAAATAAATTGGCTTGAATGATCAAGAATACAAATACGACAATTTTTTTTTATTGATTTAAAAAGAGCTGATCTACTTTAGGTTCAACTCTAGTTGGGAGAACTATGCGTTTTTGAAGTGGACCTTGAAGAAGTGGTTGAGTCGACATTGTTAGTACAATTTAGAATTTATTAATTATGATCGCGAATATTATTATAGTATATATTATTCCAATAATCTTTTCAATAAAAATTTTTTGTGGGATATTTTCTTCGATGATCAATTAATTTAAACTGTTGACTGATTTTACTAGCAAAACCCCGGTTACACTATTTACTATTTAAATTTTGAATTATAAATTGTAGGCTGAATGAATTTCGGCAGATAAGGGAATGGCCACAATATTTACAAATAAAAATAATCAATCAAATCAATAAAAAACATTAAAATATAAATCTCTGATTTTTATAGTTAGTACAACAACTCTAGCTTTATTATTACTATTATAATAAAAGGTGCCTCTTTTAAAAATATAAGAAATTGTTACACGAAAATTTGCTCTCTCATTCAAAAAAAAATTGGAGAATTGATTTTTACAAGTAATTAAAGTCATGAAATTTGCAAAACAGCTGGCTTTAAGAACCATTCAATCATGGTCTGAATATTATTTGGACTATAAAAGTCTTAAAAAGTATATTAAAGAGGCATCTGCAAATTATCATGGTAGAATTTATCTTTTAATTCACTATTTATATTGTATGAATTTAGTTAGTTTGAATTTCAAAAGTTTGCTAATTTTTAATAATTGTAATTGAAAAAAAAATAAAAAGCAAACAATCGTGATCCAGACATATTAAAGAAAACTTTGGAGGAATTTCGTGAATTATTACTTGTCGAATTAAAAAAAGTAGATTCGCGTTTCGAACAAGTTGAAATAGAATCATCTACGGTTTTAGACGAATTGAGCGCTAGAGTATGATCCCGATTAATTTGATAATTTGATCTGTTGTGTATTTATATTAAATTATTTGGTTTGTTTTTTTTTTAAAAAAAAAGTCGCATAAAACAATGACAACTGAACAAATAGATCAATGGTAGGCAAGATTTTTATTAATTTAATTTAATCTATTGCGTTTTTTTTTTTTTTTTTGGCGTTAGGTAAGAATCTAACATTATCGATTTTTATGTGAAATAATAGGCGAAAAGATATGACAATGCTTTTACAAACATTAGAATCAATGAATGGTTTATATTATTTTTGTTTGATTGATTGATTGGTAAAGGCATAAATTTATTAATTGACATGGTTTTAATACAAAAGAATTCACTGATACAAACGTCATGGGTTTCCAGAAGATTTTGAAAAAATTTGATAAATATTTGTATCAAACATCATCTGAAGTAAGCAGTTCGGCACCTCCGGAAAACCCAATTGCAAACAAGTCAAATAATACCACTTTAAGTTTTTATTTGACTCCAGATATTTCTGATAATGCCGAAGGAAATTTTACACGTGTAATAAATAAAAATAGTCACAATCGATATAGTTTCACTCCAATTGGAAAAGATTTATGGGCATTAGTTTTAAAACATAAGTTCGCCACAAGTGAAGCTGATGAGATATTGTTGTCACGTGCTAGACAGGTAAACAACAAGTTTTATTTAAGAAATTATATATAAATTATATAATAACATTGTTAATGTTTTATTCATTAGCTTTGGAGAAAACGTGTACCATTATCTCCTGCTGTAACACCCTTAGTAGAAGATTTATCAGCATTAACGATTGAAGATTCCTCAATTCCAACTATAAATTCATTAGATTTAGATGTTTTACCCAATGGCAAAGTTTCAATGCTGTGGGTAGTTTTAGCAGAAGATGGTTTAAGTTTACCAATTAAAGTACCCGTAATGGTTGCAAAGGTATCTGATAAAAGCATTTTTTCATTTAAACAATATGTTAGGTGCAATTGGCCTTGATTGGTTTAAAACTTTGTATTTATTTACTGACAGATCAGTTTGTTTATGTCATGAAATATTATGAATGAAAGGGAGTTAAAGATGGACCTGTAGTTGGTTTGGTAAAAATATTGATAATTTCTCTCGCTCTTTTGATACATGTATAAAAATTGAATTAATATAATTGATATATGAAATTTTTTTTAAAAAAGACTGCAGCATTACATGGTAATGAATTAAACGGAATTCCACTAATTCATCGACTAATGTCTCAAGATTTGAATTGCAATAATTTACACGGCGTGGTAGTATCAGTCCCTGTTGCTAATGTGCCTGGATATTTGGCAGGTCAACGTACATTCAGCGATGGCCAAGATCTTAATCGTGTTATGCCAGGAAAACCTAACGGTAGCACTTCGCAGGTTTATGCGTATAATTTGATCGATCGTATTGTGAGCAAATTTACTCATTTAATTGATCTACATACCGCATCAAAGGGGAGAGCAAATTCTCTTTATGTTAGAGCTAATATGAATGATCCCAGAACCAGAAGAATGGCCAAATTGCAAAACCCTCAGGTAGCTGATTCTATAACCCCCCCCCCCCAACGATCATATCTACACTTTTTAACAATTGTTTCTAAACCTTTTTTTTTCCATAAAAATATTAACAAAAATTTTAGATCATTGTTCATAATACGTCACCTGATGGTTCATTACGTGGGGCAGCAATGGAAAGAGGAATTCCTGCCATCACTGGTATTTTCACAAAATCTCATTGATTGATTGGTTGATTGATTAATAGACTTATTATGTGTTTAAACTTAGTTGAAATCGGTGACCCATCAAAATTTCAAAAAAGATTTGTTAAAACTGCACTCCAAGGTGTAACAAACATTCTTAGTAACTTAAAAATGGTTCCTGATGAAAATCAATCACCGGAATATGATCCTGTAGTTTGTGCTAGAAGTGTTAGTGGCATTTTATTTGTTTGTTTGTTTTTACGATTTCCCAAAAATTAAATTATTTTTTATTTATATATAGTATTGGATTTTTGCTAAAAGAGGCGGTATTCTAAATGGTATTCAGAACCTTTTCCCTTAACTGCGTTTATTTTTCCATTAATTATAATAATAAGCCCACTCCACATACATCATATATTATTCATTTATGTATAAATAGTCATACCAGATGTAAATACATGGGTCAAAAAAAATGAAATAATTGCCACTTTAGATTCTGTTTTTGGAATACTTGTTGAAACTTATTTTGCTCCTGAAGATGGAATAGTAATTGGTAAAGAAATGTATCCGGTATGTCAATCTGGTCAAAGGATCTTACATCTTGGCGCTGTCGATGATAAATTCGAAGCTAAAGTAGATGATGGACATTTGTGATTTATAAAGGTTTATATATATATATATATACATATATCAATTTGTTTATTAAAATATATATACACAATTTTTAATATATGTTAATATAAATATAGACAAATAATTTTTTTTTTGTTTTATTTTTTTTTTAAAAAAAATAAAAAAGAAAAAATTTACATTTAAAAATTTTAAAAGTAATATTAATGTTTATTTTTTTTTATAAAAAAATATATTTATAATTATAATAAAATAACCCTATCAAAAATAATAATTTTCTAAAATTACAAATAAATAAATAATTAAACAAATTAAATAAATATTAATGATGATGATGATGATGATGATGACGATTTATGATAATGATTATGATGATGATGATAATGATGATGATGATGATAATGAAAGGTGATGCTAACCAATGTATATTATCACGATGATTCTATGGATAAAAATCTTCTTCCCAATAGAGATTTCATAATTGATTGAACGAAGGATTTGAAAGATGTAATTAGGTGATTGGCAATATGAGGAGGTATAGGTGATCTCGGTATTTCATACGATGACGATTGTCCATTCTCTATAAGCTTTTGTGACATCAAAGGAGGAATGGGTGGCACAACGCTGGTGGTTATCGCGTTTGTTGCATCTACGAATGTATCTAAAAGTCTATACCATAATAGTTCGCTTTCGTTCTCAGGTGCACGACTTATTTGAGTAAGTGTTGCATCAATTATTAAACCAGCACTAGGTGATGTATCATGTCGACTACTATTCTCACACAAAAGAATACCAATTTTTAATACCCCTTTTAACTTCATTAAAGTACTATCAACTTCTGTTTTTTCTATTAGTGACCATCGATCACTTTTGGAATTCTTTTTCCTTTCAATCAAATCAAGTATGCTTTTCTTTTTTTCTTGAACAATATTTATAATTTTATTGAGTGCTCCCATCGGTTTACCACTTTTTTCTAAGAGCCAAACAACCGCATCTAGCGTACCAGAAGATTCGCAAATAGGAAGTACATTTTCTATTCGATATTTATTTTGATGGGTTTGTAAATAATGGTAGACACCAGTTGGATCAAATTGGCCCATTAATGCAATGTATTTTTCATGAATTTCCGGATCAAGGCATGACTCATCTGCAGATGTTTCTGGATCATATATTTGTTCGTTAACAGACTTTATCCTTACCAATTGACAATTGTTTGTTTCGTCGTCTTGAGAAGGTTCCAACAGGCCCCTTAAATATAAAAACAGACGCGCTGGAGATGACGATAAATTAGTAATCACTGTTTGGTGATCACCACGAAAATATGTTTTTATTATTGAAGCAGTTTTTTCTCCATCAATCTCAACAAATTCTTCGATCCTCATCATTATTGTATTTAATATGTCATCTCGTTGTTTCTCTGTTAATTTATTCTCTTGACCCAACAATTCTTCAATACATTTAAAAGCTTCATTCTTTTGTGCTGGATCTTTAAGATATGTTGTAATTAGCAAACCATATTTTTTATCAACTTTATAAATGTGTTCTAGAACCCTCGAAAAACCCGCGTTTTCATATAGCTCAATCATTTTATTTTCATCATTTGGTGTATATATTGACAATAAACATTCGACAGCAAATTGTCTTACTTCGCGTGTTTGGGAATCATTATCTTTGCTAAGATAAACAAGTATTCTGTGCAAAGTAGAATGTGGTAATAATAAAAATTGTGGATATTTAGGTAAATTCCTTGCAACAAAACAATATAAATGGGAAATGTCTGAATGTGCAAATTCTGACGATTCAGGAAAACCAGATGTCATGACCTCTAACAAGATATTGACCAATAATTGTCGATTAATGATTTTCCCTGGTAACTCTTCCTCATAATAATAATCATAATCATTATTCGTAATTATTTCCACTCCATTTAAATAAGAATCCTCAAACGCCTCATCCAAAGCTTGTAAAAATGCCTTCGTGTCATATTTTAAAAATAATCTTAAATATGGATATGTTGGTTCGGTGTCATTATGATTATTTTCAGCAGTAAGAATCAATTCGCCGCCACTTTTTGGCCATACAACACAAAGGCCTGAAAATACAAATGAATATAAAGATGTCCGAGCTTCATTGGCCTCAATTTCGCTAAGTGGGGCACCATTAGGATATGTATTACCGGTAAGTATATTCCTTAAATATGTATAAAATTTATGGGCATTTTCCTTCATTGTTTGTAGGTCATTTCCTTCACTGAACTTATTTGAATCAAATGAATTGCTGCTATTGTGAGAATGTCTGTGTTTTTTCTTTTTATGACGTTTTTCTAAAGATAAAACTTTTCTTATGACACCGAGTAATTCAACAGCAGGGCTAACATAATCAAACATCGATCTATTCCAAACATAGATTAATGCATCATATAAACCTTCACTTTGACATAATTGAACCAGCTGATCTATGTCTAAACATTGAGGATTTATACGCCATATACATTGTTCAATTCGTGAAAGCATTCTGTGAGTTTCATAATGGTTTACCAGATCCTTCATTATTTCTGGTGGAAGATCATTTATTTTGTTATCAAGAATATAAGGCTCTAACACTTCAAGTAGAATTCCTTTAGCAGAAGCTTCAGCATACCTTTCGTAAACATCATTGAAAAGGAAATCCTCTTTATGCATGCTAAGACAAGCTTCAATGCATCCGACAGCAAGATCATGAAATAATACACCTCCACCGCCACCATTATTTTCATCGATCATACCTTGAAATGTTCTTTCACTTGAAAAAGCATGATTTATGGAATCAATCAATAAACTCATTAATTCCTCGCCTACAATTGCATGACGACTTTCTTCGTCGATTGGTAAACCAAGAATTGTTTGTGATGAGCTACCATTATAAAATAATGTGGCTAAAGATATTGCTTCAAGAAAATCACCAGATTGAACAAACGCATCTATTCTATCATTCCATGATAGTAAAGTGCCCACATAAATTTGATTAACACCCTTTTAAATTGTAAAAAAAAAATTTGCAACGTGTGAATATATTTATAGATACATATACAACTCACATGTATTAATATAACTATTAAATGAACCTACCAATAGGAATAGATTTCCTTTATAAACACGCAAACTATGATAATAAGCCAAATCAATGCTTGATCGGTAATTACTAAACTGTAAATTTGACTCGTCAATAACTTCTTTTAAAAATGACGAAAATCGATCATGATAAACTAATGATCGTTGTCGGATATTACTTTCTTCACTTTCTCGCATATATCTCGGGTCAAAAACCACTATATCTTCATTGTTTGTTAAAATTAACAAAACCTAAATAAAATAATAAAATAAAAATCAATGTAAATTCCAATTTTTATAATTATATCTAAATATAAGTATATATGTTTAAAGCTAACATGCGGAGAAAGCCATTGTAATCCAACAATCCCATTTTTAGCCTTCCATTCACCAATTTTAATAAATTCCAACCGATTTTCACGATCAGGCCTCCTCTTTTTTTTATTGGAAGCATCAGAATACGATGATGCAGAAGTGACCGTTACGATGTGTAAATGGTTACCCCATGAATATGCAAGTAAAGGGTCTGAATAAATGATAGGGCTATCTGTTGTTGTTGTTATTATAGTTATTAGAAAATATAAAGATATGTTATTAATTTGTATTTAGAATGTTTTTTTTTCTTCAATAAATAATAATTTAAATAACAAACAAAATATTTATATATTATGAATAAAACTGGTTTAACCTCGAGTAAGTTGAGATTTAACAGCAGGATACCAAGCTAGACAGCCAGAAAAGGTATTCGATGTAGACATAGCGTCATTTGGATTATTTTTTGGCTTTAAATATTTATATTGTGTTTGAGCTGTCGGCTTTGTGCTCACTACAATCATCTATACAATAATAATAATAATAAATTTAATATTTTCTTAATTGAAAGATTGAAAATATATATATTATTTAAATAAACCTTATAAGGTGTTAATATGGCTACAAGTCCAAAGCTCTCCGAAACATGTGAGATTTGCCCAAGAGGTAATGGGGCTAAACCAAAAACCGTACTAGGTCTTTTTTGTTTTGCTGCAGTGCGAGAATCTGTTTGTGGTTTTGGTAATGAATATCTACCAAGAATACGAATTGTTTCTATACGATTTACCATCATAAACTTGTATAAACTATGGTAAAAGGCCATTCCCTAGATAGATATATAAACATAATATATGTAAAGTATAAATATATGTATGTGTATATATGAATAAGTATATGATCTATGGACATACACAATCATCTCCTGAAACAATACAATTTTTTCGAGCGCCGACAAATCCAACATGTAAAATTGCAGAACCACTGATATGACCTTCTTTTCTTCCAGAAAATGCAATAGATTCTGAAATAGGCAATATTGTTGTAACAGGACTTGTAGATCGTTGAATATCCCACATAAAAATATGACCGCTTGCATGACCACTAACAATTTGGGTATTATCAGAAGAAATAGCAAGAGATGTAACTGAACCATATTCTAAAGCTATAATTTTTTTTGAAAAATTTTAATAATAAATAATAAATTCGTATTAATAATTAAACAATAAATTAAATTACCATCTGAAGAATTGCCAAAAACATATTTTAAATTTGAATAATCATAGACTAATATCAATCCACGTGTTGTGCCAATAGCAATTATATTTCCCACCTAAAACCAACAAATTCAACGGTAAAAATTTCTGATTAATTGTGGTCAACATAACAATAACAATGATTATGTAAGATTAACCTAGCAGCAGTAGTACTAGTAAATGAAACACTAACAGCAAAAACTGTAGCTAATCCAGCACTTTGAGTAACATTGTGAGAGAATAAATGTTCAGAGACTTTTATTAATGGTGACCATCTAAATGCTTCCCATGGTTCAGGTGGAACAAGTAATCCTAATTCTTCAAGATCTAAGACAGATTGTGTTGATTGTGAATGCCTGCTAGAGGAAGAGTATGATCGAATTGATGCAACTGATGCTGAAGAAAGTCGTGAAAAACTTTGATCGGGGGCTCTTAAAAAGCGAGTTGATGATAATGATGATGCAGCGTAAGTTGCGCCAGATTTACGAGTAGTATCTGATAACGAATCCTAATGATTATATTATTGTTAGTATAAAACTCTCTTACATTCATATGTGGTATGTTGCATTTGTATGACAACAATAGGAAATATCCAGAAAACAATGTTAACCTCAAATATATGTGTTCCTGATTCCGTATCTATAGTTTCAGAATCAATAAAATCTTCATCACTCGAATCTTCCGATTCGTTTAAAATTCTTTCCAAGTTTAAATGTTGGGCTAATGTTAAAAAAATATAAATTGAATTTTAATATTTTACAAGTATATATTAATTTGAAGTTGAATTTATTTAATGATCGATACCTTTATTTACAAATTCTTCATATAATGCAGTTTCTTTCATAACTCTTTCGAGAAGGTCTGAAACGCCTTTCCTTCGTTGAGTACCTAAAGTTGATGGATCAGACAATGGACCACCCTGTAAATGGATTTGCAAGTCTTCCTGAAGTTTATATAATTCCAAGACAGCAGTTTTAATAGAACTTTCAGGAATAGTTGGGAGATCCAGCTCCGATATGCGTAATTGGTTAAAACTTATTTCAATGTCAACCAATGAAGAAACACCATTCACTAATAATAAAATTATTTATTTATTTGAATGTTTTTTCCAATTTATGATTTTTGTGTTATTATTATTATGATTATTTACCAAGACGTGAAATTGAGCCTTCGGCAATTTGAGGTTGATTTGATATTGAAATTTGATTTTCTGATATAAATGTTGAAGTACCTTCGCCACTGCAGATATATATTGTAATAATAATTATAATAATAATAGGCATTTTAGAATGATCAAATGAATTAATTGATCAAAAATGAATAAAAAGTAATTATTCCAGACGCAACAACATAAGAAGAGCTTAATATTCCAGAAAAAAAATATATGGCCAACTAACTAACAATTATTCTAACCTTCCATCTTCTTCATCATCCTCACCATTGTCATCATCATCTGAGTCTTCTTCTTCACCATCACCATCACCATTATCATCATCATCATCATCATCATCATCATCATCATCATCATCAGTACTATTTGACATAGAATTGTCATTGTGTAATAAGTCAAGAGCTCTTCCCATAGCATCAGATAAGCCGGTAGTTCCTAAATTCTTTTTTAAATCATTCAAATATTTTTCAGCTTGATCTGAATCTTCTAAGGCTGCTTCAAGTTCAGGAGGTAAATGTCCTTCAAACTTTTCAGTAGATGATATACTCAATTCATTGTCTAATTCGGATTCCAATAACCTTTTTAATAAATCATCATAATTTTTAATGTCATTTTTTGTTGTTGTACTAGTTAATCCACCAGTTGATGCAGTTTTAGTTGATGTAGATGTCATGACTTTTCTTTCTATCGGAATGCACTCTATCGCTCACACCTTCACTCTATTATTATTATTTAACTCTATTTCTCTAGCGAAATATGGAATACTAAAAAAATTTAATTTTTTAGAATCTAAAAGAAATTGTTTAAGAAATAACGAAGTACTCCAAAGTACTTTTTAAAAAAATAAATTTATTATATTTTTTTTTGTTTTTACAAATTTTTCTTTAATTTATGTAAAGTTAAAAAAGAAACTTTAAATATAAATAATTAATCTAACTATTTTAAATCACGGAAAAGAACAATATAAGTGTGATATAAATTCAATTATCATAAATAAGTAGTACAATGGAACATAAATCTATTGTGTTTTTTTAAATTCACGAATCAACGAGAATTCCCGATTTTTTTTCCTTCACACAATGGAACCACAATAAGATTTATTCAGTTACTGCTCAGGCGCTAAAATTTTTCCGATTATATTAATATTGGATGGCATACTTGCAACAAATTACAATGTATAAAGATTTCAGGGGTTAAAATATAAAAAACTTGAGGCTAAATATTCTCACATGATTTTCTACGTCTATTTTAGTATTAGTATTAGAGGAAAATGGCAAGCTTGACATCACCATCACGCGTGATACAATAATGAGATAATACTTGTCGTTGCGGATTATGTTCCGGGAATTTCCAATATCACTTGTGAACCCCCGAAATTTCTTGCGACTCCACTTTTGCCAATATGCATGATGGCATAAAAACCAAAAAACAATGTTATAATTATTGTTTGTTGCATATTTTTAAAATAATACAAAAAATTTTTGATTTTCTAAATAATTGTCACAAAAAAAATTTGTATTGTCCCAATTTTAATTTTTTAATAAATATAATACATAATGGATTCATTTCTCATCAATTTCTAGTTTTGTTAGCAATAGAAAAATCACTCACCTCCATTTATCTGTTCATTCATTATCGAACTTGCCCAGACATTAATCATTCATTATCATTTTTATTATTTAAACAATATTCACTAAATATTAATTGTTATTTTAATTATTCTATTTTATTTTATAATTTAAATTATCACCTCAAAATTATCATATAACAATTTATTATTTTCATCATAGTGAAACAAATCATAACAGACTTCGCAAAAATAAGAAGGCGTTTCGCCTGCCAAAAAATCATTAATTGCCACCACCCTAAAAATCAATAGTGAAAATTAATGATCGTTAACAAAACAAACAAAAAAATAAATTAGATAAACTTTGTGCTTACACTGCAGGCCTTTGTACGCACATCCGACATTTATTACGATGTATCCTACCACGAAATATGGCTTTTGGATAAACACAAATATTTGAATCATCATAACTTTTCATTAATCTAATCATTATCAACATCAAAATTATTAGTAAACTCCATCATACAATCGTTCATGTATATATATACACACGCTTAATAATAGGGTATAAATACCTAATGTCTCTAAATACCACGGCATGTTGGCAATCATCTTGATGTAAAAACAGGTAAGGTTTATTAAGTTTTATTGAAAGATCTCTAAATAATGTCTTCTCCATTCTTGCACTATGGTAAAGTGCAAGTCCAGGCTCTTGATGTCTATTGTCTTCTTTAACCCATTCTATAATATTTCTATTTATATAAATATTTAATACTTAATATTTAACAAGGAAATGACCACAAAAAAAAAATAGTTTCCACTTACTTGCTGTAATCAATAGCATCTAGCTCTCTTAAATCATTATAAAACACATCTTCAATAAAAAAATAACTTGATGGATTTTTCCTCTCTTCATTGTTCAAACTTACATTTAAATTTCCTCCAATATTGTTCTCAGGTTTGTAAAAATCTCTAATACAATAAAATACATCTCTTAGAATTGACAATGGTTGACTTCCTAACACCAAGTATTCTTGCATACGTGACGAAGGCTTCCCCTGATTGTAGAAAGCCACTGAATATATGATTTCATTTGTACCTTCTTCAATGATTTTTTCATTCTTGTTCAATACACGATTCTAATAAAAATAACATCATAAAGTTTTATATATTTTTTAAAAATAAAATAATAGAAATAACAAAGACTTACATTACAACCATTACCACTAATATTATTATTACTAGCACTACCAACGCTATTTGCAGTCGATGTAATATAATTTAAATCCGTTCGTTTTTTAAAAGGTGCTTTAAATTTAGCATCATTTCTTTAACAGATTTAATAATAAAGTAATGAATGAATTAATATTATATTAATTTATTATATTGACAATAATCTAGATATACTAACATACTTTAAACTCGCCAAAGGTAAACCATTTAACATTTCTTGCAAATCTATAGAGAAAATAGTTGGATCTATAAAACATTGATTAGATATTTCATTATCTTGTGGGACACTAGTCAAGAGAAAAAAAAAATTATTGTATATACAATATTAATTTAAAAAAATTAGTGAAAAGAATATATCTACCTGCATGTTTCTGTTATTGTATTGTATTGTTCTTCAGTAAGTTTTTCAGCAAGATTAGCTTTATTTTTCATAAATTTTTTCTCGTGTTCTAATCCTGAATGGAAATTAGAAAAAAATTTTTTGGAATTAATCAAATGACTTGGTTCGCCCAAATCTAAATACCAAGTTCTATCAACATTTTGTTCCATTTGGTAAATAAAAGTAATTCATAAAGAAAAACACGATTTCAAATTCATTCGTGTAACCATACATGTAGGGGAATTTCCCGAAATTTACTATGTTTAGTTACGGTGCAGATCATCTATAATAATAATCATTAATTGCTTATAGTAACAATTGGTCAACTTTAAAATACTAAAACAAAAAAAAATTATATCATTTTAAAAAATTTAACCGATAAGTTTTATTGTTCATGACTCAAGCTT